GGGGGGGGTCAAGAACAAGCAACTATCACAACTAATACACTCTATCAAGACTATTTGCACAGACTTCAACCACTGGCTTTGTATCGAGCGATCCTCCAAGGTCCGGCTCGAGGAGCACGCTAGCTTTGCTATTCCTAGTGTTATGGACGGTCTATCGTTTTCTCCTACGTTTATTCCAATCTGCGCATGCGTGTACAATCTTATGATTACGTTGTAAGCACGCCAAGAGAGTGTTGTCTTCAATAGGTTGAGTATATTAACACTTTAAAAATGCTCCTCATTGATAATTCATTTGACCACTCTGAAGAAGTTATCAGCACAACTTCCGCGTCCTTGGAGTAGAATAGCATCTGATGTTGCGTCTTGGTGCGGTTTGAGCTCAACTCGTCTAGCCGTTGCGTCTCGAGGGCGCTCTTACCGTGCGGCTTCAGCCTGCTTGCGTGTGCGCTTTCAGCTCGTCCATGGAGATAGCGGGTGCCAGCCAAAATTATCTTGAGAGCTTGGTCGTGCCAGATGAAGAAGCTGTCTCTGCGAATACGATGAGGGCTGCCGTAGACAACACCACAAAAGATACCAAACGCATGGACTGAAATTTAAGCAGCAATAAGTCTGGGTGGTTTTCTTAAACGGCTTGTTGGCAGCACTTACCAAAGCACAAGCCTCCGAGTCCGCCGAACCTGCTACGCTGCGAAGCACCAGTCCGCCAGTCCCGCTGCGCTGCACTGTGCCCCCTGCTCCAGTCCACCGGTTTACTCCGCCGCGTTAACTTTGTTCGGCGTCCGGTGCCCGCTCCCTAGCCGTGAAGCAGTTTAGTTACTTGGCTAACGGAAATATGACGTTCAGTTATGTTGACGAGCTACGCAGTACTGTTGCTTCAAGAGATTACGGGCCTAACCGATGCAATCTTGCAGAGGTCTACAAAAAACTCCCAAGGTCTATGGATCGATATATTACAAGCAAGTTCTCGTGGGAAGCTGTAAAGAGTAAAGCACCTGCTTTGGTATACCGACAGGCATGTAATGATGTGGCTGGCTGTCGGTGATACCATAAATTGCAACCGATGCATGCACCTCTACGACATTTTGATGACGAATAACATTCCGCTATATGTCCGAGAAGGAGTGAAACAACAATGGCTAGAAAATA